GCAAGGTCAAATCATGCTTGAACTGTCATTCCAGCCAGGATTAGAAAGCCTTTGGGGAGGCTATGCAAAGTGTAATTTTATGGTATCGTGAAACCTGCCCACTTTATTGTGAGCAAATTCAACTGCCAGCCCTCTATCACCTTATACTACCCACAGTGATCACTGTTATTTTTTGTCTGTTTGAGGATCAAACGTGTATATTTTTCCTCCATCATCATATTACATATTTTCATTTGGACAGAAATGTTTGGTGAAGAAATATCTGAAGAACTAAGAGAAGAAGTCGACATTCTGCCGGAGACAGATTTAATGAACCAGCGCTGCATTCCGGCGACTTTTAATCTTCTTCATTTTATCGCTTGGCGACCTGATCCCTCCCAGGTAAGCATCCTAATTAATAAATATGCTTATTCAGCTGTATTTATTTGTTATTTGCCCTTATATGGTGTAATATTCGTCAAAATCACTTATCTTTTATTTTGTCTAGCTAAAACCGCTTCCTCCAGGCAGTGCAAAATTTTCGCTGAAAGATATCTCTCGGTTTAGCGAAATAGAGAAGGAATACGAAAAGCATCACAAGTGACATTCTCGCTGTGTTTAAACATTCTTCGTTCTTTCCTTATCAAACTGTTTGTTAGCGTATCTTTTAGTATCTTCTGTATATTCTACCTTTTTCAAAATCGTCGTTTACTACATTTTAAAGCACTATTTCTTTAGTCTCTTATCTTTACACGAGGGTATCAAACTAACTGGGTTATTTTATTTGTACTTTTATACGTTCAATCGTTCAGCTGCTGCTTTACATAATTGCCTTTTGTAAACTATCATTCATAAGCTTATCTTTATCATTTTGACTAAATACTTATATATATATATATATGAGTCTCGAAAGCCTACTCACAAGATTAATAATCATACTTTATATAGCTTTTTATCTGGATCTTGGCAATATTTTATTATCCTCCATTTAAAACGCAAATTATAACGCCACCAAATTTCTGTCGACCATATAAGGATAAGGTGACATTCGCTCCAAAACATAGCTGCTTTAATCAAAGCAATCTGCTCAATATCAAAGAAACTATACCCACATTATATCCTGCTGATACTCGCATAGCGAGAATTTATGCAAAGAGAGCTGTCTTATCCTCCGAAATAGATCATTGTAGTAATTGTTTTTGCCAGCCTTCTCTTCGTATTAGCACTTGGTTGTAACTGGCACAACCAGCATGAGAAGGACGCTTGTCTTGGAATTGTGATTGTTTATTTGAGTGTAGAAGTTCTTGGCGCACCGTACTCTCATCATTATCCATCTGGGCTGAGGGTTCTTTTAATAGCTGTCAAACATCGTCAGGACCACAATCATTCCTTTCAAAAAGTTCTCGAAGTGCTTTTCCTAAAAATAATGCAGGCCGCTATCGTATCAATTATCCTATTTT